AATAGCACTGGACAAATAGCAGGATATTTTGCAAACTAGCCCAAGATGTCTTTTGATGATTATCTCAACCAAATATCCCGCTAATTGCAACTGTGGGCTGATGAGGACGTAAATTAGCTGTATAATTTGAGATTGGGATAGTTGAAATAGCGAGTTATTTGGCAATCTCAAGCTGATGAAGACAGGCCTACTTTGGGCTTTTTTAATGTGTTATCTTGCATTTCATCCATCCATATCCCCTTGTGATAATTACAGTATCGAGTTAGCTTCTTGAAATTGAGACTGACCTTCAGTTGCAAATGGGGAGGGGCCAATCGAATGGTGAAAAAAATGAAAATGAGGGAGAGAAAGAAACAGAAAAATGGAGAGGGGAAAGGCTAGGTGAAAGGAAGGAACCCCAGACCCCTACATTACTTTCACTCTGGGTTTCCTTATTTTTTATTCTGTATTTCATCCATATATACCCCCCCCCCCCACTCCCACATGTTGCCAGATTTAATCGCTCTCATTACTGTAACAGAAATTAATTACATTTTCTTTGATGTTTGTTCTTTATACTCTTTTATTATTTGTAATTAATAGCATTTTTTGACTTAAAATATAATGTGCTATTATCACTAAAGGTTAAACTAGACTGCTATGGTAATAGAGTGACAGATGAAAGGATACCGAATAGTTCACTATGTGTATGTGAAGTTGTGAACCACTCCACTATGAATCACTGATGCAGATTGTAGTAAAGAAGATTATAATACAAAACCAGCCTGCATGAGCTGCACGCAGGCTGTATGCTTGAATGGACGGTCACAGAATCATGCAGTTGCTGGAAAAAAGATGCCATACTGAGCGAATACAGATACAATTTTCATAATCACTTGACTACTTTGCTGTATTGCATAGGAGCAGAGATCGAACACCAGGGAACACAGGTCATTAGCATTACCGGTATGCTGAATAAAGAAAGAAAAAAAATCCCTTTTTAAACACATAAAATGTTAATGCTGGTAGTCGCAGTATGTAATAAAACTTCAGCATATTTTGTGTGCATTTAAAAGTAGCTTCAATGTCAGAGATCAAATCTTTCCCATTCAAAGACAAAAATTACCAGACCACAACATTTTCAGCCTTCGCAAGAATAGATCTTTGTGGAGGCTGGTAAATCCTTTAGGCCGGCCTCAACTAATTACTTGCATGTGGTTCTGTGGTTAACTGTTATTGATTTTGCCCACATTTCATGTTCTAAAATATCCTAGATTGCCAAAATAGTACACATATTTGGAGGTTTTCTGTTTAAAGTAGTGATATCCCGTTTACTGTACAATGGCAATGATTATGATGAAATAGTGTAATGTGTTTTAATTTAACTCTAATAATTTAATTGGGATTCTCCAATCGTATTTTAGAGTTTTGCTCTCTTTTCTCATTACATGTATATCATTAGCAAATAAATTGCTGTTTTCTTGAGCTTCATCTGTATGAATGGCATTATTGTACCATTAAGCAGTAGTAGTAGTAGTAGTAGTAGTACAGTAGGTACAATAGGAATTATATCTATAGTTATTAAACATGCATGTTTTAATGGCAGATTCAGACTCTCTGGCATGGGGGGGGGGGGTGCACAATCCTGAAAATTCTTTGACAAGTGACAAGCTGAAAAGAGACAAAATGAAGAAGAAAAAAAAAAAAAACATTTTCAGATACCCTTTTAGGGAACATATTGCAGTACATCATGTTTTTACACTTAATGTTAATGTCAAATATGCCAGCTATGATTTTTTTAGGGGGAGGGGGCATTTACCCCTGGACTCACCACTGTTCCTAAATGATATTAGCTACTTGAAGAATTCAATAATATAGGTATTTTTGATTTGTGAGGGGGCCTCTTTTACCAGGGTTTCATTAATTAGCCCCCTTCTCTCTCCTAGATGTTAGTAGATTAAAACAAACATGTTGTAGCTTTGTCTCAACAACCACCTTCCTGTATGTTTTCAAAGAATATTTTAATGATGCACAATAAAACCAGTTGAATTTCCCATTGAAAAAGGTTAAATACTACCCTTAAAAGAGGCTATGGAAATTTAGGGCAATAGATTCTGATCCATACTCTTTGTCAGTGATCGGACGTATACTGACAGTTTCCATTTGGTTTTATGTGATCCATTAAAAAGTAATTGAGCTTCAAAAAGGTTTGGGGCATATATGAGCATGCCCTGTTTAGCCCCCCCCCCCCCCTCTCCCTCCCTCTCTTTCTTCCTCTCTTGTCTACTCTATAGTCTATAGTTCCCATTATTCAATTCATTTTTACAGGTTTGAAAATTGTTTCATCTGTACCACTAAGTTAAAAAAAAAAGAGATTCTGGCACTATTGTCCTTTAACAAGACATTCATCTACATTTGCCACTCTCCACCCAGGTGAAGTTCATGGATACCTGTAGGGAGAAGTTCCTTCAATGCTTAAGTGTCTTATTATAGCTTGGCTGAAGCCTGGATATTAAAGGGATTGCAGGGCTCTCAGGGAGAACCCTGGGTAAACAAGACATATTATTATTGTCATTATTATCACTCTATTTTCAATTTATTGATATAATAGAATATCCTTATTCCTTTTTTTTAATTGCTTGCTAGGAAAGTCCCATGAATTATGGCATTTGGGTATCATTTCCCTGGTCGAAGGGTGATTTGGTTTGAACGATGGCAATGGCAAGTTTTCTCTGAATTTTCAAGTGGTAAAAATATAGATTACCATTAGAATTTATATTTCAAGTCCCAAACTGGATGAATGCCTTGGAGCTTCTTCTTTTTATTGCCTTGAAGGAAGGCACTTTTTCTTGTCTGTCATCCTCAGGCAACGAACCCCATTACAATCCATCACCACCTGTTAATGGTGTATTTTATGTCCCTCTGCGTCTTTTGCTTTTTTCTAGCGATATCCACTTCTATTTTCCCTCTATTTCTTTCCATTATTGAAAAAGCTGGCATGTTTTATAGGTTGAAATTTCTTGATTTTAAATTGAATTGTCATCAGATGGGCGTATTAAGACAAGCAAAACCAAGTATTCGTTCCTTGGTTAAAAGTTACTTTAGTTTTTCCATTGAATCTTTTTTAACTATTTCAACATGATCACAATAGCTTTTTTTAGAATGAAATCAAGGGCAATTCCAATACTTTGTACATGTATATCCCATATGAATCATGTTCAGATAAAGTCATTGAAGTGTTCACACATTTTAGCTGGTGATGGACGAGGCTATTGAAATTGTCCTAGGTCGATTTCTGTAATGTTGTTGCAATGATGTTTGACTTACAGTGTGTATGTAATCATGGAAGAAGAATTGCAAACATATATTATGCATTTGATTTGACCCATTGTCTATGGAAACCAAGTGACTCATGTATTACTGCCTATTTGAATGAGAGAAGTCGGTAGCCAATGGATTCAAGAAGAATTGCATTGTTAAATGTAATGAAAATATCAGGTGTTGCTTGTTACTTTTTATAACATTCTCGAGGTATTGAACCACACCAAATTTAGAGACATAGTCTCAAGCTATAGATCTGTAAAGATGCTATTTTGGTCATGTGAATGAATTGAAGTGTGTATAGAGCTTTGTCACGGTAGGGTAATTATATTCTTGATTAACCTCGTCCATTGTTGGTAAGAATGTTCAAGTGAGCAAAGTATAAGATTTTCCCTTACCGGTAATTATACACAAGTATACATGACTTTAAATGTGTTTAAATGTGTTGGGATAAGTATGCGTTCGACCATATTTTGGGGGAAATTTATGCCTGAAATTGATTATTTTTTGCCAGTTATGATTATCTTTAACTACAAATTAAGCAAAAAAATTCGCCAGTTGGGCCTTCATGTATAACTGCCCAAACAATTGACAAACACATACATCATGTACATGGCAATGTTATTTGTACCCAGAATTTTTAGTGTTCATACATATATAGAAACTTGTTGTTTTCAAACTTAGCAATGAATAATGCAAACTATTTTTGTGTCTAGTACTTTGTCATGGGATCCAAAGTGTCTTCCAAAGATGTTGCTGTGAGTGCTACTAAGACTCCATGATCTGTTTTGTTTGGATAATTTGTATCGGGTTGCAAATACAAGAATCTAATTTTTATTTCTTAGTTCTTGTCATGCTTTTGAGTTTTGAATATATATATGTATAGATTTAATTCTATTTGCTGTAGGTATGCAAACATGAACATATATTAAAATGAATGTACACCGACTTTATTATCAATGTATGCATTGCTTTAGCCATCTCCTTTAATGATTGTATTGCTTGAAATAAAAATGATTATGAGGCCTTGATAATGCGTGCCAGTGATTTGGTCAGTTTAGCTTGGACGGAGCTCCAATGGGCAGGAAACGCATTATCTATCGCTGCCTTATTATGTGCTTAGTTTTCACCGGATATAAGCTCCTTCGTGCACCAGGCATAATGATTAGAAAATGAGAATTAAAAGCTTGTTTGCATTCATTGATGATTGTTTGTTGATAACGGTAATGGCCTCATACAAAGGAAGGCTTTTTTCGGCAAGCGATATGTTCTGGTAGTGGCTCTGCCTAGGATGGTTTTACTAGGCGCTTTTCTCTCCTAATTAAGAAAATGTACCTGAAATTATTGGGACATTAATGCATGTTTAGAGTTTGAGAAACATCCTCAGTAATCATTATGAACATGCACATCCTCCCAACCTACATGTATTACAGGGAATTTAGAATTTAGCTGAATGGTTGGTCCAAATTATCTTGGAATAACGAAATCTACGAGACATAAGAGTAATACCCCCCCCCCCCTTTCCAAAATGATGACCTTTTGAGAAGATTGTTTCTTTCACCAAAAATTGAAACCTAAGAGGGAATTCTCTCTATCAAGAAACCTTATAATCATCTCCTTTTTAATCTCACTAATATATTTTATTTTACACCTACGTGGATCCTTGTCATTTGATTGGAGGATCTGCCATTATCTATAGATCTTATTTTATTTCGTAAGTCTCGACGGAGACTACGTGAGAAGCCCGCTCTAGCATGTAAGTCAATTCGTTCCTCGCGTGGTCAATGATTGCAGGAAACTACAATCGACTCGTCAATCTATCGATTTTTCGTCAGTTTTTCTGGGTTTTAGTTAGCCCCTTCCAATTTGGATTATTTTCTGGATTATACTGATTCTGCTAGACAACTTTCAATTCATGTCTACTTCTAAGAAGAAAATGTCAGAAGGAGATAAATCGGGCTCGGCCGAGCGGGAGCGTGCTCCCGGCAAAGCAAACGAGAACGTGCCGTCGCATCCAGCCAAGCCTGGTGCGGGGGTTTCACTAGCCTGTCATCCTGAGCCCAAGCGCTCGACAGTGCCGACTCAGCAAAAAGCGTCTACCTCACTAACTACGCCGAAAAAATGTAGTTCCAAGAAAAAGCATGTGGAACCAAATCCCGAGATCGAATCGCTCAAAGAGCGGCTGAATCACTTTGAGGGACTCCTCACTAAAGTGGTAGATGCATTGCCCAAACAGACATTTACGTCTACGTCTTCAGAAAATCCGCATTTTCAGCGGGAAGGCGACAACGTTTTCACAACGGCGGATGAATTTTGGGATAACCATGATCATGACATGGCAGCGGGTAGCAGCGGGCCGCTGCAAGCCGATTACGGGGGAAACCCTGGTGAGGAACACGGAGGAATCCCCGGTGAGGAACCCGCTGGATTTGGGCTTGACAGCGACGACGCTCCGGTCCCCTCCTTCGCCGCAAAATTTGCAGTGCCAACAGGCGTGGGGAAGCCGCTCGATTCAGAGCTAGCAAACTCCGCATCTTATTTGATGGGACATAATTTGGAGGAAAAAACAATTGAAGAAACAGCTATCAAGTACCCATGCCCTGCAAATTGCATTTTGATGGACGCTCCAAAAGTGAATACCGCAATTTGGGAGAATCTCCCCGCCGAGACTCGTAGCAGAGATTTGAAACTTCAGCGGATTCAAAAAGCACTGACAAAGGGAATCGGAGCTTTCGTCCAAACCTTGGACTCTCACAACATGTCTGATACGCAACAGGATGCTCTCGCACTCCTCTGTAATGCAAACTTTGAAATGAACTGCATGAGAAAAGACATGATTAGACCAGACATGAATAAGAACTATACTCATCTTTGCAAGCCGGCTAACCCGGTCACAAAGCTCCTGTTCGGGGATGAACTGGGCAAAAAGGTCAAAGACCTTCAGGACCAACATAAGGCGGCTGCAGGTGTTATGAGAGGTGCCGCAAATTTTCCAAAACCCAGCTACCATCCTTACAGGAGATATACAGAGGCTGCAAAACGTCAGGCCCGAGATGCTGGTTGGTTTTCCAACACAGCAAGACACAACCCTGGAGCGGGTAACATGAACACTAACAGGCCTTTTTTAGGGCGCCGCCCGTCGTGGAGGGGCAGACCAGCCCCACACACTCAAACACCCCAGACGGGCCAACGCAGGCCTTTCCGAGGAGGGAAAAAGTAGTCCCAGACGCTAAACAGGCACCTGACTCCAGTGATCAGGTGAGTCAAAATTGTTCTTCTATTTCTAGTGAATACACACTGCCTGTCGGAGGTCGAATAAAGTCTTTTCATGATAAATGGCGTGCAATTTCCAATGATCCATACATTTTGAGTGCTGTTCAAGGCTACAAAATTGAGTTTGATCCGGCTCGATTTCCCCCCTCGAGGGAGAAACCTTTTCATACATTCAAGCGTAATGCTTTAGAGTCGAGACAAATTAGCTCAGAGCTTCTGAGTCTCGAGACAAAAAATGTGATAGAACGCTGTAGTCATTCACAAGGAGAATTTATCTCTAACATCTTTACCAGACCCAAAAAGAGTGGGGGTCTTCGACTAATTCTTGACTTGTCTGAATTGAATAAAAGCGTAGCCTATCAGCATTTCAAGATGGATAACATTAATTCAGCAGTTTTACTGCTATCGCCAGATTGTTTCATGGCTTCTCTCGACCTCCGAGATGCATACTATTCAGTACCAATTCACCCAGAGTCGCGCAAATACTTGCGTTTCATCTGGGAAGGACAGTTATGGCAATATAAAGCACTCCCAAATGGGCTTAGCTCTGCTCCTCGCCTATTCACCAAACTGCTGAAACCGGCCTTTGCCTCACTACACAATGCAGGCCATGTTGTACTAGGCTATTTAGATGATACCCTTATTATCGGTAGGTCTCACAGAAGGCCACAAAGGCGGTTACAGCTACCTCAGAACTGCTCTCTGAATTGGGGTTCATTATTCATCCCACTAAATCGGTGATAGAACCGGTTCAAGAAATCAAATTCCTTGGGTTTGTGCTTAACTCTATTGACATGACCGTGACCTTGCCTTCAGATAAGAAGGAAGAACTAAAGGAAACATGTACAGCATTACTTGAAAATGCCACTCCCTCCATTAGGCAAGTTGCAAGGGTTATAGGAAAACTAGTTGCAGCTTTTCCGGCAGCTCAATATGGGCTTTTGCATTATCGCGAACTAGAAAGAGGAAAGATAGTTTCATTGAGACTAAATAGGGGCCACTTTGATAGGCCCATGAAACTCTTGGACAAAGCTAGAAGGGAACTACTTTGGTGGATTGGTCATATTGACTCTTCTTTTCGGCCGATAAACCGTAGAAACCCTGATTTGGAATTGCGCTCAGACGCCAGTGGGGCAGGATGGGGTGCAACTAACATGACCACCCATACGGGGGGTAGGTGGAACAGTCAAGAGGCAGTGATAGCGAAGGGTAATGAAATTAATTATTTAGAGACTCTTGCTGCTGGCCTGGCACTTAAATCGTTCTGTTCCAATATGTCTCATAAGCATGTCCTTTTACGGCTTGACAATACCACCGCGGTAGCGTATGTCAATGCAATGGGGGGCGTGAAATCCCCACATTGTAATGAGGCTGCCACACACATATGGAATTGGTGTATAGAAAGGGACATTTGGATAACAGCAGCACATTTAGCGGGCCGGGATAACGTTGAAGCAGACACTATGTCCCGTAAATTCAATGATAGGACAGAATGGATGCTCAATGAAAGGGAGTTTGAACGCATTGCTAAACATTTCGGTATTCCTGACATAGACCTGTTTGCCTCTAGGCTTAATGCACAGGTGTCTACTTATGTTTCATGGAGACCAGATCCCCATGCCTTGGCAGTGGATGCGTTCACACTAGATTGGAGAAATCTGAATTTCTATGCCTTCCCTCCTTTCTGTCTTGTCCCAAAATGCATTCAAAAAATTATGGCCGATAAGGCAGTAGGCTTACTAGTAGTCCCGAATTGGCCTACACAGGCTTGGTTCCCTCTCTTGAAGGATATGATTATTGGAGAACCTTTGTTCCTACCCAAAAGTGAGAAACTTCTCAGACAGCCTGTGTCAAACCTCTCTCATTCTTTGTCTAATCTTGATCTTCTTTGTTGCAGGCTTGGAGCTGCTGCTACCGACAACAAGGCCTGAGCGCAAAAACTGTTGATATCATCTCTGCATCTTGGAAGGACTCAACGAAAAGACAATATAAAGTGTACATAAAGAAATGGGAGTCATTTTGTAAGCAGAGGAATTTAAACAAACTCAAGACAAAAGCTGAGAATGTGTTAGAATTCTTAAGTGATTTGTTCTATAATGGCAATGCTGGCTATAGTGTCATTAACACGGCAAGGAGTGCATTGGCCTCCTTCTTAACTCTGGAGAATGATTCTCATACAGTTGGATCGCACACAACTATTAGCCGTTTCATGAGGGGAGTTTTTCATCTTAGGCCCCCAGTTTCTAGATATACCAAGACTTGGGATGTTGGAATTGTACTGAACTACTTACGGGAGCTATATCCAGCAACCAAGCTCCCGCTTAAGGATTTGACACACAAGCTGGTTATGCTTCTAGCACTTACTTCAGCACAACGAGTTCAAACATTATACCATATGAACTTGGACAAGATGAATTTGACAGACAAGAATATGGAATGTGTTCTCGACAAGAAACTTAAGCAAAATCAACCTGGGCGTAGTGGTTGCTCCATTCAGGTATCGGCTTATAAAGCGGATAGCCGCATTTGTGTCATTCGGTATTTGAGAGAATATCTTCGACGAACCAAGGATATTAGGGGTCAGGAGAGATTCCTTCTAATTTGCTATCGCAAGCCATATCATCGTGCGTCTTCTCAAACAATTTCGCGTTGGATAAAATTAACGATGAGAAGCGCAGGTGTCAACACCGAGTTTAAAGCACACTCAACTCGCGCAGCATCCACGTCGACTGCCAAGAGGATGGATGTACCTCTTAAAGACATACTGGCTCAAGCAGGCTGGGCAAAGGAAAATACTTTCCAAAAGTTCTATGACAGGCCTTTGGAGAGCAAGGGCAAGAAGTTTACGGATGCAGTGCTTAACAGCAATTAATAGAGTGTCTAAAGATACGAACTCGTGTTCCTACAGCAAGGTTATAATATATATTCAGTAGTAAGTTAGCATTACTTTCTGTTTATAGAGTTTCTCTATGCCAGTTTATGCAATTAGGTAATTGCTCATAGAATCGAATGGGACTACTGGCTTTAAATTCTCACGTAGTCTCCGTCGAGACTTACGAAATAAAATAGAAAGATTAAATGAAAACTTACCGTTTGAAATTTGATCTTTATTTTATGAGGAAGTTGAAGAGGGAGATTACGTGCCCTCCGCTTCCCTCCCAAACGGTTAAAGTTCGAGTTTTTTCTTTTATAGAGATCTTTCTATTGATTACAACGTTGTTGGATTAGTAGTCCCATTCGGCTTCAAAGATTGACTTACATGCTAGAGCGGGCTTCTCACGTAATCTCCCTCTTCAACTTCCTCATAAAATAAAGATCAAATTTCAAACGGTAAGTTTTCATTTAATCTTTCTATTATACTGTTTAGATTTATGCACAATTCAAAAAATCTGAAATTGTTTGTAAGTGCCCTTAATGAGTACATTAGAACCCTCCCACTCTCTTTCTACTTTGAATGTAATAGCAAATTAGTCAGTTTAATGAGAATCTGCTTCCAAACTGGTGGGTATCTAGATTGATTGACAACAAATTAATGAGAGCTTCAACTTACCTTGAAAATTAAATAATGAAAAGATATATTTATAGGAAAAGGGAGGAATATATTAAGAATATGTGATTGACATGTATGTTGTATTAGACGATGACCCCAGAACAATATTAATGTAAACCTTGCATGTATTTAGATTGAACAAATTAACATATCTATAGATCAGTGATCATGCTATTTATTTTTTAACATTTATTTTGATTATGTTCTGTAATAATTATAATTTTGCCATTTTAATAGAGCAGAGGGTTCACATTGCTGAAAAACAATAAAAGGAAAACAAGAGTAAGATTTAAACCATTTTTGCCTGTTTGTACAGTTTTATACATGATTACATACTTGTATATGAGTGATAAATATTTTCTGTAAATATTTGTTCCATGGGTATGCTAATGAAAAACTGTGAAAACCACATCTCAAATTGTCAAGGGGAAATGAGAAGTGAGGAGCTCAGTGCACTTTTTGCCAGAATACGTGAACATGCTGTAATGAACTAAAAGTTTGGGGAGTAAATCATTTTTGAGGTAGGGGGGGGGGGGGGTGTACCAACAAGAAAGTAAGGGAATCAGAATATCTATTCATAAAACAGAGCAGAAGGAAATTAAAAATGTAAAAAGAAATGATAGCAAGGAAAATCCTGTGTGGAGGTATACATGTATAAGAGAGGTTAATCAGAATGCATTATATTTTAGGTTGCTTGACTGTCTTTTTTTAGATGGTATTACTCTAGCATTAGCTCTCTTGTTTGAGGATCATTTCTTCTGTTTCCTATGGGAATAATGTAAATAATGCATAGCAACCTTGGCAGAAACATGTCCTTCAAGCTATTTTAAGAGATGGGATGCTTCATCAACATCATCACACCAAGGGAGCATTAAAGGTGATGGTGAAGGTCTCATTGCAAGAATAGATCATTGGTTCCATTTAAATAGCCCTGAAAGCTACGTGGAGCGAGAAAAAAAGTAACGTTTCCCTAGAAATACTACCCTCTCCTTTAGGAATCTCCTCCCCCCCCTTCTGATTAATGAACAGAATACAGTTTTATTTGAATTGTTCTTTCTGATACAGTTTTATCTGTTGGATATTCACAAGTGAATGACTGAGGGCTATTTCCAAATGGTAATCATCAGAAAAACTGCCAATCTGCAGCCAGCTCTGCTTCTAATTCTCAGGTTTAAAGTCAAACACTTGTTTGTTTTGGTCATTTTGCAGCAGATATATTTCTAAATTAAAGTTACGACTTGCGTTGAGATACTGGCATGATTATTCACAAATATTAATAAGCTCAAGGCGACGGAAAGAGAGTGATGGGGCAGGTCAGTTTCGGTGTGGAGTATTAGTTTCTGCCTGTTCCGAGTTAGGCGTACTACCTCCATCTTTTCCATCTCATAAGGATGGCACTTCAGTCCAAATCCTGAATGTAGTACGTTTCAAGGCAAGGCGGCCATTTTGAGGAGCATGCAAGGGGCATTGTATGCCCGAAATGTTCCTGCGGCTGCTTAGAAGTGTCACTGATATGTGAAAGAGCGGCTGTCTGCATCCATTACCTTTGCACTTAGCATTTCACATTTATGCAGGTGTCGTTGGAAAGGGTTTTACGAGACTGTGAAGGAGTTTACTTAGTAGAAAAAGGTCATAAATGCCTATATATGAGGAAATTGAGAAGACTCACAGACTTGGATTATGCTGTCTGTTAGGAGCATGAAGAAATTTGTGTCAAAATATATGAGTTGATGCCCTTTCCACTCTTAACAGATTGAATCTTCTTCTAATGAGAGCCAGGAGGATGTTAATTAGCATGGATATTTTACATAAAGTCGATGCCCTTCTGGTTCTCAGCAGACACTTACCGGTTGTAAATACTGAATAGCAAAAGGTTGTAAATGCCTACGTGAGTGAATGGAAATGACTTGCCTTCCAGTAAGAATACGCTGAGAGCTCTAAGGTTATACTTTTACATATAACCAGCTGTCATCAGACAGTATTATACATGTACATGCATTGTACAAGTTCATTGAGTAGCAAAAGGTCATAAATACTGATATGAGAGAATGGAGAAGACTTGCAAGGCAAGTATAATCTGTCACAATTTAGTTATACATGAAAGTACATTGCACTTCATCATATTTTCAATTATTTATATTTCTGTTTCAGATTTAAAGGAAATCTGAGGATTCACCAAAGATCCAAGACCTCTCCATCTCTTCCCACAACCTCCTCCTCCACACAGACTCCATCATAGCGATGGGGGATACCGGTACCACGACCACGCCCGCTAGCGGGGAGTACGACTTCCTCATCAAGTTCCTAGCTCTTGGTGATTCTGGCGTTGGAAAGAGCAGCTTCTTATACCAGTATACAGATGGAACCTTCAACTCAAAATTCATCTCAACCGTCGGAATTGATTTCAGGGAAAAGAGAGTAGTAAGTTTCATTTAACTTTTTTTGCAATTGTTACAAGTTGATTTGTTTGATAACCTCTCGGTTTCAAAATTTTTTTGGTATGAAGTGTTTTTTATTTTTATCTTCAACATCATCATCATCATCATCTAGATCAAATCTCATGTAAAAATAATCCCTAGAATTTATTGAATTATATTATCAAGTATTCTTGACAAACATAGAGTGTTCCAGTTTTTATAATGTCAGATTCATAACAGCATGTCATGATGCCTTGATAGCCCTAATTATATCCAACTGAGTGCAAATATTGTTTATTTGCACAAAGCTTACCAACTTAGTCACCTTCAAGATCTCAACTGCAAATATTGAATTTGACGGTTTAAGCAAAATTAAATTAGTCTACAGTGTTGTCGAAAGGAAGTTTGATCCTGATTACTCATTGCAAATGTTGAAGATCAGAAATGAAAGCAAAACATGTTTTTGTTATCGTGTAAATTTGTATTTTTGTTTTTTGTTGTTGGTTGCTTTGGTATACATGTACAAGAATGTTTACAAATCAAAGAATTCACATACGTCTTCTTCAGCGTATCTATTGCTAACTTCATATATATATGCATTCATTGCGTCTTTGTGTTAAGTACATGCAGAAAGAGTTAGTGGTTGGGCAATAATTTTCATTATTGGCAGGTAGTTGTGTTGCAGCTGTCAGTAGCCAGTTTCATGCCTGTAGTTTTGATCATTCAAAGGCCTGGAATTTGTGTTTGTGGAATGTAACACTTTCTGGGGTAGTTTCATTCCTCACTACATGTACATTTGTAGTAGGCTTGCGGTTGCACCATGTACATTGTCATTTACTGTAAAAACTTGCTTATTCATTGATTGTATCTCCATGGATATATTGACAGATGGAAGAAGTGTGAATGAAGAATTGAAGATGTATTTGTCCGAGAAGTATTTTTTGGAGAAGTATTTATGTTCTGCTCCCCTAGCTCAGTGTGGTTTACACAATGATTGTTTGGCTCGCCTTGGCTTACGTAGTATGATTTACACAATGATTGTTTCGCTTGACACTGTTCAAACTAAAGATAAGATGTATCTGCCCAGAGACGAGACATAATTCAATTGCTAGACAACTCAACATTGTAAAGAGGAACTTTGTTGATGACTGAGCCAAGCTTGTTTGCTCTCCAGGGTGAGACAGATCCAGGATTTTGTATTGTAATAAAAAAATTTAAAAAAAGGGGGGGGGGGATACCATACAGAAAAAAATACTTGATTGATGATGGGACAAAGATTATTTTATATTTAACATGTCTTTTGTGACTAACAATATGAAAGGAGGAACAAAATCACCTTATTAGCGGACAATTTTTTGGTGTCAGTATGTATGATTTTGTTTTTAAATGGGGGGGGGGGGGGGGAGGGACACATGTTGGTGGCACTCCTTAGTTGCCAGTATGGGGGCACAATGACAACAATGATCAGTCACAGTGATTACAAATATATGTTCCACGCCTTCCATGTCGAGACCAACATATCCCGCCCAACATATCCGGCCAACATATCCCGCACAACAATAAGGTATATTTTTTAACAGAAGTTTTGACCAGTATCAACAATTAATATCAAAAATATTAATGTGAACAGTTCTTTCAAATATCTGATAAACCTATTAGCACAGAAAGGATTAAGTGTATTGAATATTTGTCTTCTTTAAGTATTACTCTAATGTATAGACGGTTGCCAATGCTCAAAAGTCAAAATCTCTTTCTATTTTTCAATAGTTTTCCTAATTGACGCAACTGATCAGGGGGAATCAATAAGTGCATTTAATTGACTTTCAATTTCAATTTATTTAAGTTCCATGCATAATAAATATTTTACAAACCATGTAGAATTTATCTTGGTGTTTACAGAACCACAGAGTCAGGTCTGGCAATTGTAAATTATTCATAGCAATAATTGAAATGGAAGGCGGAAAAATAGATTACTCGAGTTGCTCGAGCCTACCAGTATAAAGTCACTCTCAAATTTCCATCTAGGTCAGACATTTACAAAATTTAAATGATCCCTGGATTTTTGGATTAGTATACAATCGACAGCTCTCGTCTCATTGCGTATCACTCAAGTGTGTAGGGCATCACCTGGAGGTTCGTTCAGCTGCGTCATTTATTACAGACATCTTTAATTTGAAATCAAATTGGTGTACATGACACTTGCTCTAGCAACAGTTGCTTGATGGTCAGTATCCAATACTGAATTACTAATGTTGACGCTGGATCAATCAATGTCCCCAACCCAAGCCTAAACCTTTTAAAAATCTAACCTTTACCCAACCCTAAGCCTAACCCTATCTCTAAAACTAGCCCTAACTCTAACCCTACATCTTTGATGAAATAAAGCCTTGAGCAGTCGTTGTTGGACCAAATGTCAGATTGCCATCAAAGTAGGTGAAGAAAATCATGACAAATTGGAGTTGCATTAGACAGACTATCATCAGATGCTAAGAAAAGTTACCTTTGCCCCTTCTGTGATATCAGTTCTTCCATGAGTACCTCGTATTGAAGGAATATTGATTGCAAGCTGATACTATTCACGTTCCTTTTGCACATACTTGGGATGATCTGTATTAGATACAAATGTATAGGTGACATCCAAAGAGGCGACCGAGACTCAAAGTACTTCTACAACATATGCTCTGCTGATAATTGCTCCACAGTCAATATCTATTGCTAACATAATTCCCAGCTTCATCCTTAGAACCAAACACTATACCTAACCTTAGTCCTAAACCTGAACCTAACCTAAAACACGATAGCAACCAAAACTCTAGAGCAATGGTTGCTAGATCACAATAAAATTAGCTAAAAATACGAGTCGCATCTGACAAACTAATATCGGATGGTAATGAGAATTACCCTTACTTTTGTGTGATATTTATGTTTCACCTCAGAATAACTAAGGGATCATATTGATCACAAGCTGATACCAAATGTGTTCATCATCCCAACAGGGGTCAAATTTGCTGCAGTTATAGTGACCACATAACATGTGAACCTGATTGGCTCATCTATAATGCTGAGGCGACTAGCCATGCTTAATTAATGCAAGGTCATTGTGAATATGCTCACTACACATGAGATGATGTTATCAAGGCGATAGCTAGTTTTTAGGTCAACAACTTCTGATTTTCAAAGCTTTAGATTTTCAAAGAGCTGCATCTCCTTTGAAAGACACTAAAATAGCAGATGATTGATATAACTGTAATCTGTGGCTTATAAGCTTTCTGTTGTAATTCAACTATTTCATTTTTCAATCCCGATAGGGTCTTTAAAACAAATCAAGTAGCTTGTTCTAGATGACTTGGTTTAATGACTTGGTTTAATCAATTCTTGATTAAAGATTGCAGTGCTTGTGTACTGGAATTAGCAGTACTGCACCTACATGTACATTGTACATGTACATGTGTAAAGAGTATTAGAAGATGATTAGATGTGATTATGTGGATTGGCAGATTGCTTTTTAATGTTGGTAGTACGATTCATTTCCGGTTTGGAGTAAGGGATTAAGACAACCAAGGGAATTTGAGATGGATTTGTTAGAACATGATTAAACATTCAACGTATTCAATAACCAAGAGGCTATTTGCATATGGACTTCATTGGTGATCATGCATGTACCATGGATAGGATGAAATAATATGAAGGTAGTTTGGAAGTTTTTTGAGAATAAAATTTTAGAAACACATTGGAATAATTTGTGACAATTAGCCGTTTGTTTTCAGAGAGTACTAATTTTAGCAGGATGCTTGTTTATGTGGAACACAGGTTACCATTAAAGCCTGCTTATATCAGGGATTATAGATGTAGCATGGATAAAGTTTTAGTGAACTCAAGTTTTGAAATACATTAAAACATCCTGAAATGATGTATGAGAACTCTGAGATATAGCCATTCCCAGAAAGATATTTCTATTAACACCCACCCAAGGTTGAATGCTACAATAGTTCTAATTGCTATAGGTAAGAACAGATGAGCCTACCTATGCATGATGCGCCCACGCTTCCATCATAGCTGTCTCTAGTAGATGTGAAGTTGCTGCCGGATTTCAATGACCCTTTCTCCCTCATTCTCTTGATATGAACGCAGAGTATAAATAGAACGATTCAGGTAGCCTTTTTGAGTATGAAAAGATTTATAAAAACAAAAGATATTAGAATCAGTTGTCTGGAAACAAAGGTCTTAATTAATTTTTAGAAATTTGATATGTAATTACATGTGACTTTATGCAGAGAGGTGTGTACAGTCAAATGTCAAGTTTAGAAAACCCAATTAATCCAAATATTGTTGGAATGGTCTACATCTCTTTATTTTTCGCAGTCTTAACAGTCAACTAAAACTTTTTATTTTTCAAAGAGAAGCAACAGATCAATATAACAACAAAGACATGTTATTCTTGGTTAAAACAGACCATAGGACTGTGATTCGCAAGTGATTTGTCAGTTTTTTTACTTTTGCAGACATTAGAAGTGACGACAATAATTTGTCTATTGCCAAATTTGATTTCCAATAAAATTTAGAATTTATATTCTCAACGGTGGCTGTCTTGAGGCCAACCACACCACCAAGCCCAAACCAATACATAATTGGCAAGGAGGCACTATATATTATATGAATATAGACAGTCCAGCTCAGTTCTAAACCCTCAGGAATTTGTGATTGGAGACTGCATTTCTATTGGGTTACTGACCCACTGTGTTTCCTCTGTTTGCTTCAGAACATATCAGAAGGAAAGTGGAAAAGAATCCTGTCTTGATATTCTGATCGCTGTGTGTGAGATTGTTTTATTTCAAGTAGAGATTTTAAAAATTTGTGGTTTGAGATGAGAAAGAAAAAATGTTTCAGTTTTCTGTATAAAGATATGAGCTGGATCTTATATCTCTTCTATATATATAAAATTGCTCCTTTTCATGATTTTTGACATATTACATTTTTTGAGATGACCAATATTATACTTTGGCA